GGAAGGAAGGAAGGAAGGAAGGAAGGAAGGAAGGAAGGAAGGAAGGACCAAAGACAAAAGTATAGAAGTATAGAAATGAGATGGATAAAGATGAAGATGGAACTTGCTGAGATACAAATTGACTGCTTTAATTAGAGATAGGACATTGTTTAACTTAAATTACTGGAAACCCTTATTGACCTTTTGCAGAAAATAGGGGGGAAATGAAGTCATAAGTTTTTGAGGATTAGAACAAAAATGATAAAATTATAGAGAAAATGTATAAAATGATGTAAACATCGAGGTTATATTTATAACTGCTGTAAAAGAAAATCAAAAATGACCTCTGCATACTCTTAATCTTCTCAATCTTCATTACTAGGGTGGATACAACCGGGGAAGGTCTAGAATCAGGTAATGATTATCCCCACTAAAGCTATGAAATTCACTAGCAAATGCGGAATTTCTCCACAAAACCTGACGGAGCAAGGGAGAAAAGGAAAACCCTACAGATCAGCTGAGGAAATGTGGGATATAAATATATAGGTAATCCTTGACTTACAACAGTTCCTTTTAGTAACCATTCAAAGTTACAACCGAAAAAGGTGACTTATGACCATTTTTCACAACCACTGAAAGCATCCCCATGGTCACAAGACCAAAATTCAGACACTTGGCAACTGACTCATACCTACCACTGTTTCAGTTTCCCAGGGTCATATAATCACCTTTTGCAAACTTCAAGTCAACAGGGAAGCCAGATTCACTTAATAACCATGTTACTCACTAAACAACTGCAGTCATTCACTTGGCAAGAAAGGGCATAAAATGGGGCAAAAGTCACTTAACATCTGTCCCACTTAGCAACAGAAATATTGGGCTAAACTCTGGCCACGAGCCGAGGACTACCTGTAACGCAGTGAGTTCTTTCATTAACTAAGCTAAGGGCCATGTTTTAACCAGGAGATGTAGCCCCCAAAGCAGTGGTGGGATTCATAAAATTTTACTACCGGTTCTGTGGCCGTGACCTGGTGGACGCGACGTGGCTTGGTGGCCGTGGCAGGGGAAGGATACTGCAAAATCCCATTCTCTTCCCACCCCACTAACCTGCTTTCCAGCTCCGTTCTCCTGTGCAGGGCAGCAAAAGAAGATCCAGCCAATCAGCTGGGACTCAATGGGAGGCAGAGAAGAGATGGGGGCGGGGCCAGTCAGAGGTGGGATTTGCCGGTTCACCGAACTACTCAAAATTTCCTCTATTGGTTCTCCAGAACTGGTCAGAACCTGCTGAATACCCACCTCTGCCCCAGAGGAAGAGCACCTGATAAACCGTCTTTGGGGATAAAGCGAGATCCATTCCTGGACCGGTTGCAATAAAATAGAGATGGGTGGGAGGCCTGGGCTGTGTGCAGCCAAGAAAACACGTCTCCAGCCGCCTTCTCCTTCTCCCCACGTCCTCTCCATCTCATCAACTCCATCTCATTTGCTCCCAAACCCTGCAGGCAAGATGATGCAGGGGCAGCCCAGGGAGCTCGAGTTACGAATGGGATGCGGAGACTCGGCGCTCACCTGCCTGACACCTTTCTCCTCCTCCACCACCAGAGCAAGCCGGCAGTGGCAAATCTCATTAATAAAACAGGCTTGGGGGTCCCTTGGGCTCTTGGCGAGCTCATCAAAGCCTCACCTTCTGCTTAGCAGCAGCCCTGCTCCGTAACCTGAAAAGAAGAACCAGGCCTGTCGGCTCCTCTGGACCTGACGCAGGGGAGGGAGGGAGGGAGGGAGGGAGGGAGGGAGAGGGAGAGGGAGAGGGAGAGGGAGAGGGAGAGGGAGAGAGAGAGAGAGAGAGAGAGAGAGAGAGAGAGAGAGTCTTGGCGGAAGGCAAAGCATAATGGCCTTGAGGAGAAGGAGAGAGGTCTGTGTTTGAAACAGCTCATGGCGGGTGGTCCATTTAGGTCCTAGGCTCGGAAGGAGATAAAGTCAAAGATCTGGAAGGAGGAAATAAAAGGCTCTGTGGTTAGAGTTTGGCTGTAATTTTGAGAAACCTACAACTCAGAATTGGGAACTCCAAGACCAGGAAGGGAGAGAGAGGGAGGGAGGGAGGGGAGGAGGGGAGGGGGGGGGGGGGGGAAGGAGGGGAGGAAAGGGAGGAAGGAAGGAGGAAGGAAGAAAGGAAGGAGAAGAAAGAGGAAGGGAGGAAGGAAAAGGAAAGAAAGAAGGAAAGAAGAAAGAACGAGGGAGGAAGAAGAAAGAGGAAGGAAGGAAGGAAATAAGGAACAAGGCAGGAAGGGGAGGAGGGAAGAAAATGAAGAACAAGGGAGGGAGGGAGGGAGGGATGGAGGGAGGGGAGGAAGGAAAGGAAGGAAGGGAGGAAGGAAGAAAGAAAGAAAGAAAGGAAGGAAGGAAGGAAGGAAGGAAGGAAGGAAGGAAGGAAGGAAG